GGGGACACAGCAATGAAGGTAGCTCTAGGGGATTCAATAGCAGGAATCAAGTCTTGCCCTTGCCACCTGCTGAAACAAATGAATAAAAATCAGATTTTTCCATCTCTCCCATTCATGTTCATCATTCCAAGCCCCAGTAGAGAAACCTGGTTAGCCTAGTTTAGGCAGGAGCTAGATGAAAAAAGGACACCTAACCTGACAGTCATTATGACCACACAGAGTAATTCCCCAATGAATCCAGTGACTGCTGTCAGAGGAAGGGAGAGTGTGTGCTGAATGATCAAACCTTCATATCCTCCATACCCCATTTTCTCTTCCTGACCTCAGTTTCCTACCTTTTAAAATTATCCACAATAGGGATAACCCACATATCTGCCTAAGGTTATAGAAAAGATATTTTTTAAAAATCCATTTGTGGGGATCCCTGGGTGGCGCAGCGGTTTGGCGCCTGCCTTTGGCCCAGGGCGCGATCCTGGAGACCCGGGATCGAATCCCACATCGGGCTCCCGGTGCATGGAGCCTGCTTCTCCCTCTGCCTGTGTCTCTGCCTCTCTCTCTTTCTCTGTGACTATCATAAATAAATAAAAATTAAAAAAAATAAAAGTCTTAAAAAAAAAAAATCCATTTGTGGGGATCCCTGAAGGCTCAGTGGTTTAGTGCCTTTGTTCGGCCCAGGGCGTGATCCTGGAATCCCAGGATCGAGTCCCACATCAGGCTCCCTGCATGGAGCCTGCTTCTCCCTCTGCCTGTGTCTCTGCCTCTGTATCTTTCATGAATAAATAAATAAAATAAAATAAAAATCCATTTGTAGGGATCCCTGGGTGGCGCTCCCTCTGCCTGTGTCTCTGCCTCTCTCTCTCTCTCTCTCTGTGACTATCATAAATAAAAATAAATAAATAAATAAAAATCCATTTGTATTGGAATTTTCCCCAAAAGGTGTTAATGGTTGGAGAAGTCTGGCCTTGCCCCTCAGAAGTTTGGTAGGAGGATTAAAGAAGGTAATGTAAGAAAAATGCCTATTACAGTGCCTAGCCTGTAGCAAGCTCTGTTAAACGTCATTGCCATCCCAGCCCTTCCCCAGTAGTTTGCAGGAGCTGGCTTATACCAGCTCACAAGAGCTAATCATTCTATTTTTGGGATTTTTGTGAGCCAATTGACATAATATTGGTAGTTTGAAGTTGACCTTAATAAGAATATATACACCATGGACATTGGAAATGTTGCAAATGAGGGCTTTCCCCATACCCTACCCCGAAAGTAGTTATTAATCATTAACCAACACACCAATGCATCTACTTCTTTGTTCGCAAAATGTGAATAGAACCGTGAAGGACTGAGCGCCAGTTAGGATTAGATTCAGCTGTGAGTAAAAACAACAATAACAACAGTGGCTTACAATATATAAATTCATTCCCTAGATTGAGGTAGGTCATTTGGGCTTGGCTCACCATCTAATTTGTTGCCTCACCATCCTCAATACATGGCTTTTACTTCGTGATCTAACATGGCTATGGTAGAGGCCAAGGGCCAGCTGCCCCAAGTTAGGCCAGTTTGGCATGAACATTATTTTGAGTTAAAAGCAATCAAAACACAGCCAATTAGGAGAAGCTCTTCAACTCTCCCTTGTTGCCTGCTTATACCAGAGAGAGCTCTCTTGTATCAAAGAGAGCTATTTAACAGAGATTCCTCTTTACTGAAGAAACTTATCTGCAAAATAGAGAGATCTTTGATTTCCAAATATTTTTCACCTTCCAGTTAATGGTCTTTCACTCCTTTGTATCCTTAAACACTAGCTCTCTCTCATATAAATGTCATGTTGCCTCATTGTCTTTGGAATTTCATGTCTGTGTGGATTCCCTGTATGTATACTATTAAATTTAGTTTTCTTCTGTTAATCTTTCTCATGTCACTTTGATTCTTTGTCCAGCTGGAAGGACCTTGAAGGGCAGAGGAAATTCTTCTTCCCTAACACTGCTCAAGCTCCACACTACAGCCAGTAGGGAAGAGAAAGGGAAACACACTCTCCTTTCTATTAAGGCCACTGACAGAAGTAATGTGCAACATTTCCACTTCTATGGAATAGGTTGAGGTGAAGTCACTTAACCAATCTAGCTGAAACGGTGGCTAGAGCATGTTTCTCAGATGGAAAATGGAAAGAAAGAGTGAATGGATATCGGGAGGCAACTGGCCATTCCTCTTGTCACCAGCTAGAACCCAGGACTTGACCTTTACTGACTGCTGGCTTATACTCATAAAACTTTGTCCCACATTTTTCCTTAAGCTCTTTTTTCCAGCTTCTTTCTCTTTCTCTCTTTTAAAGATTGATTTATTTATTTTTAGAGAGAGAGAGCAAAAGAGAGAGTGTGCATGTGCATGGGGGGAGGGGCAGGGGAAGAGGGACAGAGAGAAACCCAAGTAGCAAGGAGCTCAATGTGGGGCTCGGTCTCACAACCCTGAGATCATGACCCAAGCCAAAACTAAGAGTGGGATGCTCAGTTGACTGTGCCACCCAGGCGCCCCTCCAGTTTATCACTTAACTTGGGCAAATGGAAAGCAAAACCAACTTTCAAGCAATAGCAACTGTCCCATCAGGACCTCCCACTGGCCCAGACTACCCAAACCAGTTTGAGTTTAGCTTCTGGGTCACATCTGCACAGTTGGATGATGGAGTGACCTCTAAAATTACCTTCAATTACCTTTACCTCATTATAATACTAAAACCTCCACCCAAGGAAGAGCCTCAGTCTCACTCATACAATATACAATGCATGTATAGGCATATTTCCTTAAGGCTCATGCATGACCTTATGCCTGCCTTTACATTAGATGACAAGGCTTCCCTATCTAAATATTCATCCTAACCATAAATAAAGGAGCCCGTCACCCTTGCTCAGGGAGTCATATCTTTGGAGGCTATTCCCCATGATCTCCCTACTTGCTGCAAATAAAGTTTTCTGTGTGGGACAACCTGATGCAGTTTCTGATTCACCAAGGAGTGAACTCACATTAGTTCTGGTTATACTCTCACTAATGGGCAGGACTTAGGAAAGTATAAATGAGAGGGGAAAGTCATGCTGGTATAGTAGAAATGTGTGTGGTTTCTGGAACTTTGAAGGATCTGGCTGGAATAGAAACCTAGAATACTGAAAATGAGATTAAATAAACAAGATGGAAGCCAGATCTCAGTGAGAGTCCAGGAAAGAAGACCAAAGGATCTTGATCTGGTACCATGAAAAAGAGGAGGCATTAAAGTTTTGGGTAGGGAAGCTGTACAATCAGAGGCATTTAAAAAATTTTAATCTGGCACTTACATGCTAGACATGTTGAAGGAGGGTGGAAAAACAGGAAGCATCAGGCAGGGTGGAGGGGAGACAGATTTCACAATCCAGCTGTGAAGTAGAAGTACATCTGAGGCATTTGCTAGACAATGTGTTCAGATTGATGTCTGGCCTGATAGGGAGTTTCAGGGTAGGTGGCCAAGACACGGCATTTGTAGAGTAAACATAACAAACCTGCCTTGGTAGGAGTTTTTGATTGGGTCACTTAGAAGCAGAACCTGGTGCAGGACCAGGAGAAGGAGAATGAGGGAAACGGGATGGCAAAGGGGAAGAGGGCGAGTAAAGGTGTGGGCCGAGCCCACTGGGAGGCTTTTGGCACAAATGGGAAAAGGGTGGGCTCCAGTTACAGACAAGTGGGCTGGTGCTTTGTAGCCCTACACTAGGCAGTCATTGACTCAGGTCTATCCAGAGTATGTGTAAGGGAGGAAGACTCAGTTCCCCTTTGGTTCCAGGGTAATTCATTGACCAAAAAAGGAGGACAGCTATGTGTGGTTATTAGACCACATGCTTGTGAGTGATGAGTGGACCAGCTGCTAAAAAGGATCTGAGTGAGGCCCAGGCAGCATCCATTGCAGTGGGCCCATTTTGGGAGTGTTGGATTTGAGGTTTGGTATATGACTAGGGGGAAATGGGAGCTACAAGACAGGAGTTCACAGAGAAGAATAGGGCTAGCTATGCAGATCCTGGAGTAAGGGACTCTGGCACACAGATGGTAGTTTCAACAAGAGGAAACGAGCTCTTTGAGGGCCACGGATAGAGAGAGAGAGAGAGAGAGAGAGAGAGAGAGAGAGAAGCAAGCCCTTGGAAAGGAAGTTGGCTATACCCTAGAGGGAAGGTGGTTAGGAGAAGAGGTATCAATGAATAAAACAAGGGGTGGCTCAGTCAGCTGACCATCTGCCTTTGGCTTGGGTCATGATCCTGTGGTCCTGGGATCAAATCCTACATCAGGCTCCCTGGTTGAGGAGAGACTGTTTCTCTGTCTCCTCCCTGCTTGTGTGCTCTCTCTCAGTCTCTCTCTCTCAAAAGAATAAAAAAAAAATTTATTTTTTTTAAGATTTTATTTATTTATTCTTGGGAGACATAGAAAAAGAGGCAGAGACACAGGCAGAGGGAGAAGCAGGCTTCCTGCAGGGAGCTGGATGCGGGACTCGATCCCAGGACCCCGGGATCACGACCTGCCAGAGGCAGACACTCAACCACTGAGCTACCCAGGCGTCCCTAAATAAAACCTTTTTTTTAAAAAAAAAATTTTTTTTAATGATTAAAAGAAGGCATAGGTCAGCAGAAAGGTTGTTAGTGTGGTAGTTGAACTTATCACTGGAAGTCAAGAGAAGAAGACGTTGAGGAAGAATGAGTATGGAAAAAAAGTTGAGTTGTTTTTTGTTAGTTCAGATGTTGTTGGTGGCCATCGAGGGGACACCTTCACAGCAGAACTGAGTTAGAAACTACGTGGCGAGAGCTAGTAATGCTTTCCATATTTAATGCCATTCCATTCTGGTTCTAAATTCCTCCAGGGCACTTCCTGCTCCAGTTGGTATGTGCTCATTCTTGCTTGCCCTAAGGTTACTCTATGTTCTGGTTACCTAATGTTGCCTCACAGATTACCCCAAGACTTAGTAGCATGAGACACCCTTTGTTACGTTCATGAGTTCTGTTGGTTAGGAATTTGGATGGAGCCCAATGGGGATGGCTTGTCTCTGTTTCCTGATGTCGGGGGCTGAAGCTGGAATACTCAAAACCCGCGGACCAGGGTCATCTGCAGGATTTTTTGCTCACGCATCTGACCGTGGATGCTGTCTATTGGCTGGGGGCCTCAGTTTCACTCCCGATGATCTAGATGGATTTTTCCTGCGTGGTGCCTGGGTTACTGAAAGAAAGAAGCAGGCATGAACTGTATTTTTTTTTTACGACCTCATCTTTTTATGATCTACATTGCTCGCCCTGTACCCATTGGTCAATGTAGCCATAGCCCCACCCTGATTCTGTAAATGACCCCACCCTGGAATCTGTAAAACTCCAGAAGAGCATGAAGGGGAGGCACTCATCTTTGGAAAATGCAATCTGCTATACTCTGTTAGAGCTCTCCATTTGCTTCTTCTGAGTGGCCCCTTTATTCAACAACCATCAAAAATAACAGCAATGGAAAGAACTACCTGAGGCTTAGAGGGGTAAGTGTGCTAGCCCAGATGACTCAGCAAGAGCTCTGCTGTGACATGGACCAAGGACTTCTGGGTTGATGATGCTACTTTTATTAAGAACTAGATGCCTTCAGGGGGGATCCCTGGGTGACTCAGCAGTTTAGAGCCTGTCTTCAGCCCAGGGTGTGATACTGGAGATGCAGAATCGAGTCCCACATCAGTCTCCCTGCGTGGAGCCTGCTTCTTCCTCTGCCTGTGTCTCTGCCTCTTTCTCTCTCTCTGTCTCTCCCTCTGTGTCTCTTTTTTTTTCCCTCTGTGTCTCTCATGAGTAAATAAGGTCTTTTTTTTTTAAAGATTGTATTTATTTATTCATAGACACACACACACACACAGAGAGAGAGAGAGAGAGAGGCAGAGGGAGAAGCAGGCTCCATGCAGGGAGCCCGATGTAGGACTCGATTCCGGGTCTCCAGGATCACACCCAAGGGTGCAGGCGGCACCAAACTGCTGCACCACCGGGGCTGCCCCAAGGTCTTTTTAAAAAACTTTTATTTTATTTTAAGATTTTATTTATTTAATCATGAAAGACACACACAGAGAGAGAGAGAGAGAGAGAGAGAGAGAGAGAAAGAAAGGCAGAGGCACAGGCAGAGGGAGAAGCAGGCTCCATGCAGGGAGCCTGATGTGGGACTCGATCCCACGTCTCCAGGATCACGCCCTGGGCCGGAAGGCAGGCGCTAAACCGCTGAGCCACCAGGGCTACCTATGAATAAATAAGATCTTAAAAAAAAAAAAAAAAAAGAAGTACTGGATGCCTCCAAAGAGCAAATAAAACTTGTGGAGACTGGGACTGTTTCTTCAGTGCCCCTGCTTCCTCCATCCTCACAGCAGCTCAGGATCACCACAGAGCTATGAACAGAGACAACTCAGCCACTTACCGACTGACTGGTCTTGCATTTGACACACCCATTTAATGTGATGATTTAATATAATTTTGTATCTCTCTTCTCAGGAGAGCAAAGTCCCTCATGCTGCATTCAACTTCCTGGCTGGAAGACCAGGATAAAGTTGCTTTTCATCCCTCTGCTAGCAAGAGCAAGGCAGCACCCATGTCAGGAGTGTGAGGTGAGTGGGAGAGACCAAGGAGCATCAGGTGGAGCAATTAGATGGTGATCTGATGTAACTGGGTGGGGAGAGCAGGACGGCTAGAAGGGAAGTGGCTGAGGCAATTCCTGTGGGTCTAGCTCAGAGAGGGGAGGACAGCCAATTTCCGCCCCCTTCCCCAACTCACATCCCAACCCTAAACAGCTTCATAGCCTGGAGGTGGGAGGGGGGAACTCTGGCAAAAGATCCAGTGTGGGTGGCAGGGGTGCTTATCATGATCAGGAGTGGGTGGGGACAGATCTTAGGACTTGCATCAGGTTTCAATTTTCCAGACCCTGTCTATGGCCTGCCACCCTTCCACCCAAACTAATCTTTGACTTTATCTCTTTAGAAATGTCCTCAGGCTAGCAGTTTCTCAGAGATTGCAAATCGGGAAGGATATTCGGAAACCACAGTTTCCACTCTGCTGTAGGGGCAGAAAGCATGGGGCAGCCCAGCCCCTCAGTGCCTGGGAAGTAAGAAGTAAGAGGATCAGAGTTATTTCTGTTAAAGGACAACTACCCTTCCTAGGTCCCCCCTGACCTGCCCCAGCCCTGCAGGGCCTGGTGGGAAGGGGAGGGGTGTATTTTTGCCTCTGGTTTCTCCCCATCCAGCTTGCCTCTGCTAGAAGGTATATTTTTCCTGTTCAAGTCCCTTGAAAGTAGCTATCACTTTTTTTTTTAAACATTTTACTTATTTATTCATAGAGGCACAGGGAGAGAGAGAGGCAGAGACACAGGCAGAGGGAGAAGCAGGCTCCTTGCAGGGAGACTCAATCTCGATCCTGGGTCTCTGGGATCACGCCCTAGGCTGGAGGCGGCGCTAAACCCACTGAACCACCAGGGCTGCCCAGCTCACTATCACTTCTCATCTCACCCCCAACACCTTGGCCTCACCTTCATGGACTTTGGTGGACTGGCTTCAAGTGTATCATTTGTAAGCCACACATGCTGCTTTGTTCCAGCCCCACCAATGTGCGTATTGCTCTCTCCCACATAGGAATTACTCATTGCTTATGTCACTAGTCCCTCTGGAATGTACCCTCTTCTCCACGACATCCATTCTCTCTGCATCATTTATTATTTTGTTTAAACTAGCATTGTTGTTTTCCCCCCTCTGATAATTAAAATAATACATGTTTGTTGTAGGAAATCTGTAAAATGAAAAATGTATACAAAAGAAAATTGGGAGCGCCTGGGTGGCTCTGTGGTTGAGCGTCTGCCTTCCGCCCAGAGCGTGATCCTGGAGTCCTGGGATTGAGTCCCACAGGGCTCCCCACAGGGAGCCGCCTTCTCCCTCCGCCTGTGTCTCTACCTCTCTCTCTCTCATGAATAAATAAATAAAATCTTAAATTAAAAAAAAAAGTACCCATAATTCTGCAGCCTGAATATAATTAACATTACCATTTTGGTGGGCTTCCTTCTAGTATTCTCACCAGAACTCCTTTGCTGCCTCAGGCCTTCATGCATGCTTATTATTCCTTCTACCTAAAAGTCTCTCTCCCTTTCCCCTCTTCCTGATCCCCCTCTCTTCTTCTCTTCCCTCCTTTGTTTTGTGAGTAAATCAACTCATGTGTCTAATCATAAAGGTCATTCTTTCAGAGAAACCCTTTCTCTACCCCCATGTGATGTCTGTTACACATTCACAGTACCCAGTACTTTTCCTTGTAGCACTTACCACAACCAGAAATAAACCATCATTTTTGTCCTCATGTGTTTAATGTCTGTCTAAGCTACTTGACTTGACGTAAGGTCCATGACTTGCTTGCTTGTTTATTCCCGTTGACCCTAGCACCTACCACAGTGCCCCATATACAGAAAACACATCACACCAAAATAACTTCCTAGAATAATCATGTATATGTCCTCTTAGCACTTTAAAATAATCATCTTAACAAATATAATGAATCAATCACTGTATGAGACCTGGTTCCAGGTACAAGATACTTGGTTCTTGCCCCAAGGGATCCTCAGTCTTTTGAGGGAGACAGACAAGTACGTGGAGAATTCTGATGTCCTTGATGATCAATTATAAGTATATATGATCAATAGTGTTAAGTAAAGCATAGAGAAGGGGTTCCTAAACTAGCCTTGAGGGGGATGATACTATTGCTTAAATTTGTCCTCATTAATGCATTTACTTCATATGAGTCATTTGTTGGTGGCAGATCTGTGATTAAAGCCTCAAACTTGAGAATCTCAGCCCAGTACTCTTTCTAGCTGTGTCTTAGGGGCCTTTGGAATCTGCCCTCTCCTCTTTCCATTCTGTTAATCCCCATGTCCTGCTGATTTGACCTGGTAAAGGTTTCTCCAGCCTGTCTACTTTTCCTCCCGTCCCCTCCACCATGCTCCAAGCCTTTATTACTTCCAGCCTGAATGTCTACACTCATCTCTCTGTCTCTCTGCTTCTAGTCTTGTCCTGCTCAGATTCCTTCTCTACTTTGCAGCCAGAGTGAGCCTTCCCAGGCTTAAGTGTAAGCATATATATCCCCAGCTTAAGGTCTCATTGAGGGGTGCCTGAGGGGCACAGTGTGTGAAGTGTCAGACTCTTGGTTTTGGCTCAGGTCGTTATCTCATGGGTCATGAGACTGAGCCCTGAGTCAGCTTGGCTGTGTGGAGTCTGCTTTGGATTCTCTCTCTCTCCCTCTCCTTCTGTCCCTCCTGCTCATGCTCTCTCTCAACTACTCTTAAAAAGTCTCATTAAGCTTTCAGTTCAAAATTCTTAATATGGTGTCATTTTCTCGGGCTACCATAACAAAATACCACAGACTGGGTGGCTTAAACAGCAGAAATTTATTTCTCACAGTTCTGAAGGCTGGAAGTCCAAACTCAAGGTGCCAGCAAGTAGGCTTAATTCTAAGGCCTCTTCTTTTTTCCATATCAGGCAGATAATGTGCCAAGGTTGTAATAAGGTTTGAGAGAGGTACATGTCACACAATCCCATGAGCACCCAATCATCACTCTTGTGAACTACAAAAGAATCAGAGGTCTCTTCTTTTGACTTGTAGGTGGCCACCATCCTCCTTGTGCTCATATGGCCCTTTCTCTGTGTGTATATGAGAAGAAAGAACTCTCTTGTGTTTCCTCCTCCTTTTTTAAGAATACAATTCCCATCAAATTAGGGCCCCACCCTTAGGACACCCACCCTTAATTACCTACCAGAGACCCTATCTCCAAATCTCCAGTCACATTGGAGTTTAGGGCTTCAACAGATGAATCCTGGGGACACACAGTCCCATCCATAGTACACGGTCTACCAAGCCTTTCTTAATCTAGCCTACTTTGCAAGCTTTGTCTACTCTCCAACCCCCTCTTTGCCTCCATGCTTCTTTATCTTGAAGCTCTCTCGGTTCCTTGAACTTGCTCAGTTCTCTGCAGCTCTGATCCCTCCATCACCTTCCCTTCTTTCTCTGCCTGTTCTACCTCTATTTAGTCTTCGTAAGGAAAAATATATCTAGCCTTGGAGCAAATGGGTATGATTTTGTCCACATTGGCTCTGAGTCCCTCAAGACATCTCAGGACCTGTCTTGGATCTCTTTGAGAGCTGCTTGCTTTTTTGAGAACTGAGACCCAAAGAGGGCCCATTACAAATTAGTGTATAGCCCCCACAGTGAGCCAGACTCAAACTCAGTCCTACTTTATTGGTTTCCTCCTTTTGGACCTATTTCTGACCCTTTCAATTTTTCAATTTCTGCTTGGGGAGACTGCTGAACTTTTATTTCTTGGGAGACATGGCTCTCCTTTGCCTAGGAAACAGTAAATCAGCTTCCCTCCTCTGTCAGCTCTGTTATCTTTGGATTTGGGTTACTTTTAAGTCTCAGTTTAAATATCAGTTTCCAGGAGAGGCCCTCCCTGATACCCCATCTTTTGTTTAGTCCTCTGGCTCTCCATTCCTGGGGTAGCCTATGCTCCCCCTTTTGTAAGAATCACCACTTATTCCTGTATGTTTAATGTCTGTTCTTCTGAGCTCCTAAGGCAGGATGTATCTCTGCTTGGTTGCAGTATCCCCAGGTTAGTGTAGTGCCTGGCTCCTAGTGGGCTATTAGAAACTGTCAGGTTTTTTTAGTAGATGCTCCATAAATATTCATTGGCTTGAGTTGTTCTGAAATAGTTTCTCAGATAGTATATGCATTTTGTTGTCTAAATTAGACTAAAATTGCTCATGACCCTGTCTTTTCCTTTCTTTAAATCTCCTGGGGTAGGGGGCAGGGGCCCCTGAGTGGCTCAGTTAGTTAAGGGTCTGCCTTCCTTCCATTCAGGTAAGGATTCTGGGTCCTGGATCTAGCCCCAAATGGGGCTCACTGCTCAGCAGAGAGCCTGCTTCTCCCTTTCCCTCTATTCTCCCCACCCCCTTGTGCTAACTCTCTCACTCTCTCTCTCTCAAATAAATAAATAAAAGCTTAATCAATCAATTAACCAATCAATCTATCTCCCTCATATGCTCACTATGGGCTTCTTCATCCAAGAAACATTTCATAAATGATTCATTTTTTGTCTTAAAGCTTTTATTTATTTATTTATTTATTTATTTATTTATTTATTTATTTGAGAGAGAGACAGAGAGAGTCAGACTCCCTGCTGAGCCTGAGCAAGGAGCTCAGTGGGGCAGGGGGCTCAATCTCAGGACTTTGAGATCATGACCTGAGCTGAAGGCAGACGCTTAACTGACTGAGCCACCCAGGTGCCCCTTCATAAATGATTTTTAACTGATTTCCCAGAGTAACTTTACCCAAAGGCATCATATTCTAAGAAAGGATCAAATTAAAAAGAATATGTATGTAGCAGGATAATTTATCATGAAATTATGGTAACAATCTATTAAGGATGAAAAAAGAATGATGATGTTCTCCTTTCCCTCCTCTGCATAGCCATGACTTTGTTTCCTTGAAGTTGTGGGTTTCCTGACCCCTTGAAGAATTTGGTGTTTTTTGAGTGTGTGTATTTATTTATTTGTTTATTTATTTAGATTTAATTTATTTATTCATAGGAGACACAGAGTGAGGCAGAGACATAGGCAGAGGGAGAAGCAGGCTCCCTGTGGGGAGCCCAATGTGGAACTGGATCCCAGACCCTGGGATCACAACCTGAGCCAAAGACAGACGCTAAAACACTGAGCCGCCCAGGCATCCCTTGAGTGTGTTTGTTTGTTTATTTTATTTTTTTTTGTTATTTTATTTTTTTATTTTTCATTGTGATAAATGTACTCCTTAATCCCCATCACCCATTTCACCCATCCTCCCGCCTACCTCCCTTCTGGTAATCATCAGTCTGTCCTCTATAATTAAGAGTCTGTTTCTTGGTTTGTCCCTCTCTTTCTCTTTTTTTCTTCCTTTGCTTATTTGTTTTGATTTTTATATTCCACATATGAGTCAGATCATAAGATATTTGTATTTTTTAGACTGACTTCTTTCTTTAAAAAAATATTTTATTTAATTAGAGAGAGAGAGAGAGAGAGAGACAGAGAACATGGGGAGGGGCAGAAGGAGAGGGAGAAGCAGACTCCTCACTGAGCAGTGAGGCTGACACGGAGCTCTATCTGAGGACCCTGGGATCATGACCTGAGCTGAAGGAAAATGCTTTACAAAAGAGTCATCCAGACGCCCCCAGACTGACTTATTTCACTTGGTATAATACTCTCTAGCTCTATCCATGTCATTGCAAATAGTGAGAATTAGTTCTCTGTTATCTGAATAATATTCCATTGTGTATATATATATATACACACACCACCTCTTCTTTATCCATTGATCAATTGATGGACATCTGGGCTGCTTCCATAATTTGGCTATTATAAATAATGCTTCGATAAACAGGAGTGCATGTATCCCTTTGAATTCATGCTTTTGTATTTTGGGGTAAATATCCAGTAGTGTGATACTGGGTCACAGGGTAATTCTATTTTTAACTTTTCGAGGAAACTCCATACTATTTTCCACAGTGGCTGCACCAGTTTGCATTCTTACTAACAGTGCAAGGGGGTCCCTTTTGCTCCACATCCTTGCTAACACTTGTTTCTTGTGTTTTTTATTTTAGCCATTCTAATGGGTGAGAGGTATTATCGCATTGTAGTTTGGATTTGCATTTCCCTGATGATGAGTGATGTTGAGCATCTTTTCACATGTCTGTTATCTGGATGTCCACTTTGGAAACATGTCTTTTCATGTCCTGTCCCTACTTTTAATTGAATTATTTGTTTTTTGGTGTTGAGTAGTATCAGTTCTTTATATATTTTGGGTACTAATCTTTATCTGGTAGGTCATTTGCCTTTTAGGTTTTTTTTTTTTTAAGATTTTATTTATTTATTCATGAGACACACAGAGAGAGGCAGAGACACAGGCAGAGGAAGAAGCAGGCTCTATGCAGGGAGCCCAACATGGGACTCGATCCCAGGTCTCCAGGATCACATCCTGGGCTGAAGGCGGCGCTAAACCGGTGAGCCCCCTGGGCTGCCCTGACTTTTAGTTTTATTGATTGTTTCTTTTGCTGTGCAGAGACTTTTTATTTTAATGTAGTCCCAATAGTTTATTTTTGCTTTTGTTTTCTGCCTCAGGAGACCTATCTAGAAAAATGTTGCTATGGCCAATGTCAGAGAAATTACTGCCTCTCTAGGATTTTGATGGTTAGGAAATCAAATGTCTCACATTTACGTCTTTAATTCATTTTGAATTTATTTTTGTGTGTGGTGAAAGAAAGTGGTCCAGTTTCATTCTTTTGCACGTAGGTATCCAGTTTTCCCAACACCCATTTGTTGAAGAGACTTTTTCCCATTGGCTATTCACTCCTCTTTTGTTGAAGATTAATTGACCATATAATTGTGGGTTTATTTCTGGGTTTTCTATTCTATTCCATTGATCTATGTGTTTATTTTTATGCCGGGACCATACTGTTTTAATTACTTCCACTTTGCAATAACACTTGAAATATGGAATTGTGATACCTTTAGTTTTGTTTTTCTTTTTCAAGATTTATTTGGCTATTCAAGGTCTTTTGTGGTTCAATACAAATTTTACGACTGTTTCTTCCATTTCTGTGAAAAATGCTGTTGGTATTTTGTTTTTGTTTTTTTAAATTTTTTTTAAATTTTTATTTATTTATGATAGTCACAGAGAGAGAAAGAGAGAGAGAGGCAGAGAGAGAAGCAGGCTCCATGCACCAGGAGCCTGATGTGGGAATCAATCCCGGGTCTCCAGGATCACGCCCTGGGCCAAAGGCAGGCGCCAAACCGCTGCGCCACCCAGGGATCCCGCTGTTGGTATTTTGATAAGGGTTGCATTAAATCTGTAGGTCACTTAGGATAGTATAGACATTTTTTAAAAAGATTTTATTTTATTTATTTGAGAGAAATAGAGAGTGAGAGAGCAGGAAAGGAGCAGAGAAAAAGGGACAGAGGGAGAAGGAGAAAGGAGAGAAGCAGGCTCCCTGTTGAGCAGAGAGCCCAACTCAGGACTCAACATGGAGCTCCATCTCATGACACTGAGATTATGACTTGAACTGAAATTAAGAATCAGATGCTGGGTGGTCCCGGGTGGCTCAGCGGTTTAGCGCTGCCTTCAGCCCAGGGCTGATCCTAGAGACCCAGGATGGAGTCCCATATCTGGCTCCCTGCATGGAGCCTGCTTCTCCCTCTGCCTGTGTCTCTGCCTCTCTCTCTCTCTCTCTGTGTCTCTCATTAATAAAAAATAAATAAAATCTTAAAAAAAAAAAAAAAAAGAATCAGAGGCTTAACCAACTGAGCCACCTAGGCACCCCTGGGTAGTACGGGCATTTTTAACAGTATTTGTTCTTCCAACCTATGAGCATGGAATGTCTTTCCATTTCTTTTCATTGTCTTGAATTTCTTTCATCAGTGTTTTATAGTTTCAGACTATAGGTCTTTCACCTATTTGGTTAAAGTTATTCCTAGATATTTTATTGTTTTTGGTGCAGTTGTCAATGGGACAGTTTTCTTAATTTCACTTTCTGCTGCTTCATTATTAATGTCTAGGAATGCAACATTTCTGTACATTGATTTTGTATCCTGTGACTTTACTGAATTCATTTATCAGTTCTAGTAGTTTTGTGGTGGAGTATTTAGAGTTTTCTATATATAGTATTGTATTATCTGCAAATAGGGAGAATTTTACTTCTTCTTTACTCTTTGGATGCCTTTTATTTATGTTGTCTGATTGCTGAGGCTATTGTACTAGGTTAAATAACAGTAGTGATTTGTCTTGTTCCTGACCTTAGGGGAAAAGCTCTCAGTTTTTCACCATTATGATTTTGGTTATAGGTTTTTCATGTATGGACTTTATTATGCTGAGGTATGTTCCCTCTAGATCTACTTGCCAGAGAGTTTTTTTTTTTTTTTTAAATCATGAATGGATGTTGTACTTTGTTTAATGCTTTTTCTGCATCCATTGAAATGGTCATGTGGTTTTTTGTCCTTTCTCTTATTGATATGATATAACATGTTTTGCTAATATTGAACCACCCTTATATCTGGGAATAAATCTCACTTGATGGTGGTGTATGATTTTTTTAATGCATTGTTGGAACAAGTTTACTAATATTTTGTTGAGGATCTTTATGTCTATAATCATGAGAGACATTGGCTATAATTCTCTTTTTTTTTGTTATGTGTTTATCTGATTTTGGTATCAGGGTGATGCTGGTCACATAGAATGAATTTGGAAGTTTTCCTTTCTCTTCTATTTTTTGGAATAGTTTGAGAAGAATAGGTATTAACTCTTCTTTAAATGTTTGGTAGAAGGGATCTTTGGGTGGCTCAGCGGTTTGGCGCCTGCCTTTGGCCTAGGGTGCGATCCTGGCGTCCTGGGATCGAGTCCCACGTCGGGCTCCCGGCATGGAGCCTGCTTCTCCCTCTGCCTGTGTCTCTGCCTCTCTCTCTCTCTATCATAAATAAATCTTTAAAAATAAATAAATAAAGGCTTGGTAGAATTTGCCTGTGAAAGTATCTGACACTGGACTTTTGTGGAGTTTTTAAAATTATTTATTCAATTTTTTAAAGATTTAAAAAATTTATTTATTCATGAGAGACAGAGAAAGAGAGAGAGAGAGGCAGAGACACAGGCAGAGGGAGAAGCAGGCTCCATGCAGGGAGCCTGATGTGGGACTCGATCCCGGGTCTCCAGGATCACGCCCTGGACCTAAGTCAGACACTAAACTGCTGAGCCACCCAGGGATCCCCCTATTTATTCAATTTTATTGCTGGTAATTTGTTCAAAATTTCTATTTCTTCCTGCTTTAGATGTTTTTTTGTTTGTTTGTAAAAATATTTTATTTATTTATGAGAGACACAGAGAGAGAGAGAGAGAGGCAGAGAGAGAAGCAGGTTCCATGCAGGGAGCCTGACGTGGGACTCGATCCTGGGTCTCCAGGATCACACCCTGGGCTGAAGTTGGCACTAAACCGCTGAGCCACCTGGGCTTCCCTCTTCCTGCTTTAGTTGTGGTAGATTATATGCTTCTAGGAATTTATTCATTTCTTCTAAGTTGTCAAATTTTTTGACACAGGTTTTCATAATATTCTGTTACAATTGTTCGTGTTTCTGTGGTGTTGGTTGTTATTTCTCCTATTTCATTAGTGGTTTTCTTTATTTGGGTTCTTTCTCTCTCTCTTTTCCTTTCCTTTCTTTTCCTTTTTCTGTTTTGGGTGAGTCTGAGTTTACCAATTTTGTTCATCATTTCAAAGAATCAGTTCCTGGTTTCATTGATCTGTCCTATTGTTTTTGCTTTTTTTAGTTTCTATATCATTTATTTCTGCTCTAATCTTTATTATTTCCTTCCTTTTCCTGGGTTTGGTTTTGTTTGTTCTTCTTTTTTAGGATTGTTGTGCATTTTAGAAGGAAAGGAAAGAATCAAGACTGAGTGAGACTCTAAAGGAAATATACCCCTAAGTAGGCTATAGTTTTGCAAGGTACTAGATGTCTAATCTGAGAGGGGAGGATGTGGAGACAGTAGCTTACCCCTTGGTTAACTCTTGGACCTCTGGGAACTCAGAAAGAAGATAGGGGATACAACTTCTCCAGAATGTGTGGAGGTCTAGGCCCATCCTAAGATGGGATTAGCTGCCAAGGTCCATTGGAGCTGGGCTGGGGTGCTTTGGATAGGGCATTTTCAGAGCTTCAGCAAATGTCCTCAGCCCCCAGGGAAGGTCAGATCAAGACTGTAGAGAAGCACTAAATATGTTACAGTGGCCCCCATATACTTAAAAATAAAAGAGCTATATGAAACCAAAAACAACTTTAAGGATGTACTACAGATTTGTGATTTTTCCTAGTATGTGACTGCTTTCGTGTTCTCTTTCTCTCTCTCCATCTGCTTCTCCTGCTCCTCTCCCTCTTCTTCTCAAATATGAAATTACTTCCAAAGTTGTTTTTTCCCCTCTTTTGGCTTTGTGGGTGTCATGTGTAGGGGATTAGGACCTGCCCAAGCTTGACTGAGTGGCTTGACTTCTAATGGCCCCCACAGGCCTGAGTAAGGAATAAGGCAGTTCTGACCACCATGGTCAGAGCAGGAGACTCTCCTCTGTTTCCTCAGGACTGCATGAGCCTAGGCTTCCTTGTATGACCCAAGGGGGCAGTCTGAAAACTGTTAGACTCTAGAATTCTAGTCAGTGATGGTCAGGGCTAAAGCCAGACTTGATATAAGTGAATCCATAAAGACATAAGTAATTACCTGTGCCCCAAGAGCTGTGGATCAGTTCATTCATACCTGTTATGTGTATATGCATACACATATAAATGTTTCTAGAGAGAAGAAACTAGTAACAGTTATGGCTTCTCAGAAGTAGGACTGAATCTATTATTTTTTGACTGAGTTTTTAAAAAACATTGAACAGATGTTATTTTTATAATAAAAGTATACATCAAAAATTAAAATGACAGCAACAATAAACTCATAAGATTCCTAATATCTTTAGATTTCAAATGACAGGCCAGATGGGAGATTCTGCTTTCCAAGAAGGATAAGCTTATGACCCAGGCTTGGGCTATGAGAGGAGACCAGTGATGCCTTCCAGCTGTGGTCTATCCAGTGCAGCTGGAGAGGAGGCTAAATATAGACAGGCTGTGCAGTATACCAAGATGAATCAGGCTAGTGTTAGGACTCTGTCGGTGAGCACTCACTTTATACCTAAGTTCTAGGCAGGAGGATATAGAAGTAAACAAAGCAGGGGAGTGCCTGGCTGGCTCAGTCAGTAGAGCATGTGACCCCAGATCTCAGGGTGGTAAGTTCAAGCCCCACATTGGATGTGGAGCCTACTTTAAAACAAACAAACAAACAACAACGAAAAGAAGTAAGCATAAAGCACAGGAAAATCCCAATGTCAGGTATGGGGTTAGAGTGGAGGAAGGTGGTGTGCCTTTTCCAGGGCACTTAGTTCTTGAGTACCTGTCCTCAGGGCTCCTTCGGTATTGTTTGAGGGGCTAGAAGGGGCTAGGAAGTATTTGTTTATTTATTTGTTTACATGGGGCTTGAACTCATGACCCTAAGGTCAAGAGTCACATACCCTCACTGACTGAGCCAGCCAGGCACCCCTAGAAGGTTTCTTTTTAATTTAAAAAATATTTTAAATATTGTAATTTAATTTAATTAATAAATATTATTATTTAAATAATAATTAGCATATAGTAAAATGTACTTTTAAAAGTGTATACTCCCTATGAACTTTTAAAAAAGATTTTATCTATTTTTTAAAAAGATTATTTATTCATTTATTTCAGAGACAGCTAGAGAAAGCGCATGAGCAGGAGGAGAAGCAGAGGGAGGAGAAGGAGAAGACTCCACTCCCTGCTGAGCACAGAGCTTGAGGCAGGGCTTGAGCACAGAACCCTGGGATCAATCCCTAGGTGAAGGCAGATGCTTAATGGACTAAGCCACCCAGGCACCCCTTAAAAGATTTTATTTATTTTAGAGAGAGAGAGAAAGAGAGAGAGCATGAACGAGCAGGGGGAGGAGCAGAGGGAGAGGGAGAGAGAAACTGAGGCAGACTCTGGACTCAGCACAGAGCCCCACATGGGGCTCAATTCTGGAAAACCAAGATCATAACCTGAGGCTTAACTGACTAAGATATGAAATGCACCCAGGCGCCCCACTTCTATGAATCTAAATTCATGTAAAAATTCATGTCATCACCACCACAATCAAGATATAGAACAGGGACAGGCCAGATGGCTCAGCGATTTAGTGCCGCCTTCAGTCCAGGGCCTGATCCTGGGGACCTAGGATCGAGTCCCACATCGGGCTCCCTGCATGGAGCCTGCTTCTCCCTCTGCCTGTGTCTCTGCCTCTGTGTGTGTGTGTGTGTGTCTCATGAATAAATAAATAAAATCTTTAAAAAAAAAAAAGATATAGAACAGCTCTACTGCCCCCCCAAAAATCCATTATGCTATTCCTTTGTAGTCACATCCTCCCTCCCATCCCCCACAAACCTCTTGTTAGTTTGAGCTATTCTCCATGACTATTGTTTTGTCTTTCCAAAAATGTCATATAAACGGAACAATACAGCATGTGACCCTTTTAAAAAGATTTTGCTTGTTTATTTATTTAAGATTTTATTTGAGAGTGAGAGAGAGCAGGAGCTGAGGGGCTGAGGGGCAGAGGGAGAGGGAGAAATAGACTCCCCACTGAGCAGGGAGCCCATCTCAGGACTCTGGGATAATGACCTGAGCTGAAGTAAGATGCTTAACTGACTGAGCCATCTAGGCATCCCTAAAAATTTTATTTTTTTAAAGATTTATTTATTTATTTGTGATAGACACAGAGAGAAACAGAGAGAGGCAGAGACACAGGCAGAGGGAGAAGCAAGCTCCATGCAGGGAGCCTGACGTGGGATTTGATCCCGGGTCTCCAGGATCGCGCCCTGGGCCAAAGGCAGGTGCCAAACCGCTGTGCCACCCAGGGATCCCCCTTAAAGATTTTATTTTTAAGTAATCTGTATACCCATCATGGGGCTCAACCCCACAACCTTGAGGTCAAGAATCACATGCCCCACCAACTGAGCCAGCCAGATGCCCCAGCATGAGATCAGATTTGTTCAGCATAATGCCTTTGAGAGTCATCCAAATTTTGCATGTATCAACAATTGTTTCTTTTTGTTTCTGCATACTCTTCCACAGTATGGATATGCCAAGTTATGCATTTACCCATTTTAACCTGGTTTTGGGTAATTACAAATAAAGCTGCTAAGAACATATTTTTCTCTCAGGTAAATACATAAGGGATTGTTGAGTTGTATGGTAAGTGTATCGAATTTATAAGAAATTGCCAAGCTATGTTCCAGAGTAGACTTTGTTTGTTTTTTTCAAGATTTTATTTATTTATTCATGAAAGAAACAGAGAGAGGCAGAGACACAGGCAGAGGGAGAAGCAAACTCCCTGCAAGGAGCCTGATGCAGGACTCGATCCCGGGACTCCAGGATCATTCCCTAAACTGAAGGCAGATGCTCAACCACTGAGCCACCCAGGCATCTCCCAGAGTAGACTTTGAATTCCACTAGTAATGAAAAAGAATTGCTCTGCATTCTTGTTAACACCTGATGATGCTGTCAGCATTTTTTGCTGTATCTATTCTAATAGAACTCCAATGGTAATTCATCATGGTTTCAATCTGCAAAATTGATGGCCAAAAGTCAAGCTTATTTGCCTTCCTTATATTCTCTTAGTGAAGTGTCTATTCAAGTCTTTTGCCTATTTTTAAATAGGGCATCTGTTTTCTTGCTGTTGAGTTTTGAGAGTTTATATATTCTGGATACATGTCTTTGTTGGGTATGTGATTTGGAAATATTTTCTTTCACTCAAAATCTTGTTTTTTTCATTTTCTTAACAGAATCTTTGGCACAATAATTTTTTTTAAACTTGATGAAAATATTCTTTATCACATATTTTTATTGAGACATAACTGCTATTCAGCAACATGTACTAATCTTAAGTGTACAGCTTGATTACTTTTTACATATGCATTCACTCACTCATTTAACCACAATCCCCTCCAACATAGAATCACTCCATTTTCCCAGAAGGTTTCTTTAAGCCCCTATCTAGTCAGTATGTAGCATTCTCTCTTATACCTTCCTTTGAAATAACTGCTACTCTGACTTCTGTCACCATAGATTAGTTTTGCCTAGAAGGTTTCAAATGACTGTGCTCCAAGTTTTGTGACCTACTTGGTTTTGTCTTGGAAAATGGAACTCTTCAAAAACCTCACTTTGGAGAGAGATGCCGATGCCCTCACCAGATGTGATGTGGAGGTTGGTGAGCAAAGCTGGGTTTCTTATCATCCTGCTTCTGACATGCTATGCTGGCAAGCCATGCTTCACATCATGGTCTAAAACCTAGGTAGAAAATGGCAGAAAAAAGCATTTGTCCTATGCTCACAAAAAATCCACTGAAATGGGAAAAGCAGAGTCTCAGGAATCAAAAGGCATGAGTTCAGCCCCCCTCTCTGACACTTCCTGAATGTCTTTGAACAGACCAAATAAACTTCTGGAGCCTCAGACACTTCATCTATAAAGTGGGAACAGTAATATCCACTGTGCTTCTCAATCTTGTTCAAAGATAGATGAACCTCTTTCTCCTTCCAGGTTCCTAGGAAGACTGTATTTGCCACCCTATTTAACTCTTACTGATTAGCCTAGGTATGGCTATGTAACTTACATTGACTAATTAAGATGTGTCCCTTCTATGTGGAAGTTTTTACAAGATTTAATTTTAAGTGATCTCTACATGCAGGGTAGGACTCAAATTTCAACCCTGAGATCAAGAGTCACATGCTCTTTCAGCTGAGCCAGCCAGGCGCCCCTCATCGAATGTGGCAGTTTTAAAAAGCCAATGTGTGCTTTTCCACATTCTCTCCTCCTACTTGTGGCAACTGACAATGTTCCGGATAGTGGCTGCCCTGTCAGCCTGGGTCCTGGAATTAGGACCAGTGCAGCCTCAGCCAACCTACACTGCAGGAGCAGTAAATACATTTTTATTGCATAAAGTCATTGAGATTTTGGGGATGTTTATTACAGAATCATAACCTAGCTTCTTTGGGGGATGTACCATATTACGGATATTACCAGAAATAAGTGAAATAAAATATATGGAACTTCTGGGGACATAATAAGGTTTGATTTTCTTCCTTTTAAAATCTTTCCTTCTTTCTGAAGAGTTATTGGGTATTCTTTTTTTAAAAAAATTTTTTTTAAATTTTTTTTATTTTATTTATGATAGTCACACAGAGAGAGAAAGAGAGGCAGAGGGAGAAGCAGGCTCCATGCACCGGGAGCCCGACGTGGGATTCGATCCCAGGTCTCCAGGATCGTGCCCTAGGCCAAAGGCAGGCGCTAACCGCTGCACCACCCAGGGATCCCTTATTGGGATATTCTTAACATCCCAGAACCTTGGATGAGCTGTCCGAGAACAGATATCCATGCAGTCACAAAAGAAAGAAGAGGAAAGGATATAAAGCAACACAGAGTAACAAATAGGACACAAAGCAAAGAGGAGAAACAAAGTGAAAAAAGTGAGACAAAGTATAAGAATGGGGGAAGAGACATACAGAAGATGCCTGAGACACAGACAGAGGCAATTCTATAACAGCTGAGGAGGCAAATGCAAACTGTATCTGTTTGAGACTCAGCCCAACCCCAGGCAAGCAATGTCATCTGTTTTGGTAGCTGAACAAACAAGCTTAATTAGTTCCTGGTCATCCATTCATCAGTGCTGGCACTCAGTGTTTACTGAGCACCCACTGTGTGCCTGGTACTGGTATTGAGTTTAGGGAGATAAGTCCAACCCAGCGCCGGCTCCTGCTTTCAAGAATCCCCTGATCTGTTGTGAGTCACCTGAAGGGTTAGGATAAAATCTGCCCTGTGCCATGATGGAAATGCCTTCAAGGACTTAAGGGAGGAGTGGGGAACCAAGCCCTGTACAGGAGGGTGAAGAAGAATTTTCTGAAAGGCATGAAACTAAAGGTCTTGAAGAATAACCAGGAGTTAGCAAAGACCGGGAGGTGAGGGCATGCTGGGCCAAGGCGCAACAGAGCTGGATGGTGGAGGTGAGAAGCTGAAGGTAGTTTGGGGTTGCTAGAACTGTGATGAGAGGCGGTGGGCATCAGGAGATGAGGCTGGAGAGGAATTCAAGGGCCTGTCTCAGGGGCTGGATATCTTCACTGGGTTCGCTAGGGCAGATTTGGGTGGTTACACAGAGAAGTGACAAGGTCAGATTTTAGCTGAATTGCTCTGCCTGCTGTGTGAACCATGGATTGGGGGCAGAATCTCTCTTTGTGAGGTCTCTTGGGATTAGCCCGAATGCGCAGCCTAGAGCCTGGAAGTGCACAAGATGGCGTCTGGGACCATCACCCCAGCCGAGACTTGGAGACTTCGTGAGTGCCGCCACCGCCACGACTGGGCAGGGTCCTCTGCACCCCTGTGCCCTACGTGGAGTAAGTGCTTCACCCTCCTGACAGCCCCATGATGAAGGTATTCTTGTCATCCCCATTTTGACCACCAGGAAACTGGGTGCAGAGAGGATAATTATGAACCCTTGCCCTAGAGCCAGTAAAGCAGCACACCAGCATTCCAATGCAGGCGGCTGGCTCTGATCTGCCTGTAACCACTCTGCCTCTGGTCTCCTTGGGGTCTGCTGCTGTCAGGAAGGCCTTCCTAGAAGCATGGTTTGATTTGGGCATCCTGCTTCAAGTTTATGAAATCTTCCACACAGATGACCTCACTTAAGTCTTGCAACAATAACTTCTATGAGACAGGTAGTGTTATTCATAGCTAAGAAAACTGACCAAGGAAATGGAACGATTTGTCAAAGGTCAGAAGTTAGGGGGCAGAGTGCCGTTGATGACTTAGACTTGTGTCTTCGAAGCCTCAGTCCAGTGTCAGCTCTCACGTTCTTTTGTCAGTCAAGGCTTCATGTTGTGTGGCTCAAAGTTCTGAGCACGTCCACTCCAACTGCTTTCTGTCCAAGAAAATGCTTTTTTGAATTAAGAGAGGGAGTCACAGAGAAATGTGTTGTTGGCATCAACTTCCCATGGTTGGGCAATGGCTTCCGCCATCCGGACCAGGTGACGTCAGTGGTCTGGATTTCTGCCAGTGTTCTCTGCCCAGGAAACAGACTTCCGGCCAGGGCTCCCAGCTGTCTCTGGGCTTCCTGGAGCAGCAGACCTCTCAATTTGCAGCCAGAGACTGAAGATCAGATCTCAGGGAATGTTTCACTATGGGGAAGGAGGTAAAAATGGGGAAGAGGAGTGGAGAAGACGCTGTCTACAGATGAACATGGAGGCACGCTGCCTGCAGTATGGGGTTTCTCTTCCTGCATGAGAGCAGGTCCAGTGATTAGACTAGGAGGTTTAAGACTGTGACTAAGAGAGTTAAGTAAGCTGGGGGTGGAGGGGAAGAAAAGCAAGCAAAGCTAAGGAAATCTGGAAAAAATTACACATAGATGTATAAACACAGAAGGTCAAACATAAGCCAAGAATAGAATGTTGATCACAATCCTCGTGCACTTTTCTGTGGATATTAAATCTTGAACAAATCAGTAATGCAGGAATATAAACAGCCCTGATTTCTTTTTTTTTTAAATTATGAAACTATACCAGTTATAAAAAATCTGAAAAATAGATACATGAATTAGAGTAGAAAATTAAAGTGTCCCTCCACCACCCTGAACCTCACTCTCCAAGCCTGGTTCATAAATGATGTTACACACTTTAGCCATTCCTTCAGCCAATATTGATCTCATCAGTCCTCACAACAACCCAATGAGGTAAGAACTACTACTATGCCATTATTATTAGTAGTATTGATAGAGAGAGTGTATGGGCTTGTGTGGGGATAGGAAGAGCAGAGGGAGAGGAGAGAGAGAATCACATGCAGGGCTCAATCCCACAACTCTGAGATTATGACCGGAGCTGAAATCAAGAGTCGGATGCTTAGCAGGCTGAATCACTCAGGCACTCTGCTTTTATTATTATTTTTTTAAAAAAGATTTTATTTACTTATTTGACAGAGAGAGAGAGAGAAAGAGAGAGAGCATAAGCAGGGGGAGCAGCAGAGGGATAGAGAGAAGCAGAATCCCCACTGAGCAGGGAGCCTGATGCAAGACTGGATCCCAGGACCTTAGGATCATGACTTGAGTCGAAGGCAGATGCTCAACCAACTGAGCCACCCAGGTGCCACTGTTATTATTTTTAATTGTA